AATTGCTATGTCGTTACGTACATTGGGACAATTTGCGATCCCATTCACGATGTCGTACATGAATACAATAGATGCATTCACTCTTCTACGCTCCAACGATGTCATGTTCAACGCCTCAAGTCGCTTGTTGTAGTCGGTGATACTGTAGCCGTTGGCCGCTGTACGGTATTCTCTTCGGGCGAACTGGGTGAATTTCCTCAAAACGCTCTCGATTTTGTCGATATGTATGGCATAAGTTGGCAGCCATACAACGTTGCAGTACTCAAGATGAGACTGAACCGGTGCGTAGTATAGTGTTTTGAACGTTTGAACGTCGGTTATGTCGTAACAAAATCTTTTGATGAATCCCAAGGCTGCTGTAGCTTTCGAAGTGATCGCGTCAATGTGCTTGACAAAGCTCAGCTTCTGGTCAATGATGACGTCGGAATCTTTGTGGTCCAATACGCGCTTGAAGGTAAAATCACCGTATTTGTAATTAGTGTCGATGATGTCTTTCCTTTTTGTGGTGATTGTAAGGATGGCGCATTTGTCTAGGTTCAGGTGCAAATTGTTTACGTCGCACCAAACCCTCAGCTTGTCGATGGCTCGCTGTAACGCTTCCGCATCCGTGCTCGAGTGGATGATTTTCGCGATTTTTACATCATCGGCGAACAAAAAAATGAACACGTCGTCCATTTCGTCCACTATGTCGTTGATGAACAACAGGAATAGTGTGGGTCCGAGATGACTACCCTGTGGTACGCCAGATGATACGTTGAATTGATTCGACTCGCTGCTCCCTTAAATACTTAATGAATTGTGTTCGGTTTGACAGGTATGATTCGATCCAAGAAGAATTTCTGGCAGGTTGAACGATCTGAGTTTCAGAATCAATCTCTTGTGGTTTACTCTGTCAAACGCTTTACTGAAGTCCGTGTAGCAATGATAAAATTTGCCTATGTTTTTATATGGAGCACATGTTTATGCTATATTTAAGCGACATCTCCACGGTACACGCTGAACTATGAAACTTCTTTATAAATATACTGCCAACTATCAATGACAGCAACCAATGACAGCAACAATAGAACGTATTTGTATTGCAAAATACTTGCACCTTGCAGATGGCGCCAAACCAAACGTCATTCTAGTCATTTTTCTCATTGCGTGTAGAGAACGTCTACTTGCGCACCAGAATTTATGCCTCTTTGGGCATAGTAGATGAATTCGGTGAGATTAGATGCAGTAGATCTGGACTTCATGAAGCCGTGTTGCTTCTTGATGATTTTCTCCTGTACCAGCGACAGAAGTTTGACGTTCACCAAATGATCGAAGAACTTCGCCACAGTTTGGAGCTTAGCTATGCAACGGTAGTTTTCAATCTTCGATCTGGCCCCCTTTTTCCATTTGTCAGGGAAATGGCCAGCTGACAATGATTCGTTGAAGATCTCGGTGAGTGAAGCCGCCAAATGACTCGCACAATTCTTTAGTATCAATGGGTGCATACCATCAGGACCCGTACCTTTCTTGGTGTTCACGGCTTGTAGCTCTTCAAGCACATAATTTATGTCGAGCTAGAATTCCTCAGTTTGCTGTGACTCATCGTAATTGCTACTGAAGAAGTTCGCGAACAGGTTGGCTTTTTCGGTTTCGTTTGCTGTGCGCACATCACCAAATTCCATGACTTTTGGTCAGGCCCGTAATCAGACGGGTGCTTGGGGGTGCTCAGCACCCTCAAAATCTTGTCGAGCACCTCCAGAATTTTTTTGAGTATTTGTTCAGCACTTTCTTGAAAAATTTCCGATAATGTTTGATACTTTTTTCTGCCTACACACAAAAAAGTTGAGACAAAATCGGCAAATAAATGAATCATCATTTCAGTATTTTGCTTCAGTGTTTTAAATCAAAGCATTCTTCTATACATCGGCTATCGGTTCTGTTTGGATTCATATGAAAACTTGGTTATATGAACTGCGTTTACTTGTATTTATTGTTTTTGCTAATTAGGCATTTCAAACTCGATATTAATCCCAATTTGATTACTGCATACACAGTTCAATTCACAAAACATACGAAAGTCAAAACAAAATTTGCAAGATCAGCGCAGATCAGCGTCGTCACCACTTGATTTGATAATAATCATATTTTATTAATATCACCGACAAAAATATAGAATTGTTTGGTTTAATATCAAATGTAAACAATTGAACGAAGAAGTACGATGCATGAAAAGAAATTGAATTTGTGTCAGTTCGTAATCAGCTCATCGATTAGTCGGTTGTTTTCTTGCAAAATCAATAGCAAAGTTTCGATACTGACTTTTACATTTAAAATGTCTTTGCCACAAAAAAAAAACATCGAATAAAAGTGGAAAAGGTGTTGAACCGAAACGAAATCCAGAGGTAGATGTTACCATTATCGCTTGAAAAGCAAATATTATCTTAGATTATTAACAAATATTTTTAGGCTACATTGGAAAGTTTTTGGAACAAAAAAAAGCCGAGCGAAAGAAGCAAGTTCAACTACTGCAGAACGAGTTGATTCAAGTGAAATTGTTCCAAGCGTGATTGTTTCAGAAGAAATTGCAAGTGGATCTGGAACCACATCCGAACGAACTGAAACTATTCATGAGCCGAACGATATCTCACAGAAAGGAGAAGACAAGAAGATTCAAGTTTTCAATAATTACAAATTCAAAAAGCAGGAAGATGGACGGTCGTTCCAAAGCAAATGGCTCACAAACTTCGAGTGGTTGGAATATTCCAAAGAAAAAGATGCGACGTTTTGCTACGCATGCCGTCAATTTGGACTGGGCAACGTGAGTGATGTCTTCACAACGACTGGCTATGACAAATGGCAAGCGGCTTTAAGTACAGGCAAAGGATTTAAAAAGCATGAATCAACTCCATCTCATATAAGCAGCATGCTTTCATGGAAAGAGAAATTGTGTAGGTCAAGTTCAAACCAAGAAGTGTCAACTCTTTTGAATGAAACCGTTTTAGAAAAGCGACGTTATTATTTTAAAAAGATCATCTCAACGATTTTATTCTTGGCGCAAAACGAGTTGCCTTTGCGCGGGAACTGGGACAGTGCAGAAGATAAAGAAGGTGGCTTATTTAATAATTTATTCGAGTACAATTTGGAAAACGATGAACTTTTGCGTCACTGCCAAGAGCAAATGCCTGCAAACGCAACGTATACGTCTCCTCTCATCCAAAATGAAATCATTCAAATCATTGCCGATCTGTTGCGTGAGAAAATTGTTGCCGATATAAATGATTCTACCCATTGCACTTTGATGGCCGACGGAACCAAAGACAAAAACGGTCGGGAAATCATATCAATTGCGTTTCGTTATATCAAGAATGGAAAGCCAGTTGAATCACTTCTGTGTTTTGTAAAAGCTGACGACATCACAGCAAAAGGCATAACACAATTGATCATCGACCAAATCACAGAATATGACATTATTGTTGCTAAAATAATCTGCCAGTGCTATGACGGTGCGTTCGTCATGAGCGGAGATCATGGTGGTGTGCAAACATTGCTACAAGAATACTTCAAACGAAAAATCCCCTATATACATTGTTTTAATCACCGTTTGCATCTTGTCGTAATAGCTGTAGTGTCGGAAATAGACTCATGCCGGTTATTTTTCGATCAAGTTAGGCTTCTGCATAAATTTTTCAATCGTTTCAAGGTTCGAAGAGAATACGACGGAACGAACATTCCCAGACTCATTGAAACACGATGGTCCGGCCATTTAAAAGCAATTGAAACAATCGCCCAAAATTACGATGATTTGCTTGCTGCATTGGACACGATAAAAAATGGCAATGGAAAGAACTTTGATGCCGACGACATTGCATTAGCTTCAGGCCTGTCAAGTGCAATTATGGAAAAGAAGTTTTTGTTCATGCTGCATTTTTTATGTCATTTACTCAGTTTGATAGAACCAGCCAACAAAATGCTTCAAAGCCGTGAAATAGGATTTATTCAAGCGAAGCCGATAATTGAATCCGTTCACAAAACCGTGCTGGATCAAAGAACGGATGAAGCGTTCAACCGTTTTCTGCAAATCGCTGAAAAAGTAATGAGCAATTTTGAAGATTTCGAGCCGAGACCACAGAGAATTCGTCAGCGTAGCACCCGATTGAATAACTCTATCGTATTGGAGACGCTTGGGGAGCGTCACATTGAAGTAGATGCGCAAAACAACGTCGAAAAAGGACCATTGTTGCTGAAATCGCAGTATTTCAATGTAATCGATCGCGTTTCAAGTGAAATGGCTCGTCCTTCGATGAGAACACCGATATTTTGACTGCTATCGATGAAGTAAACAACATAGGTGACGACGATTTTGATCGAAATGCGCTCAAGCCGTTGAGCGAAATTAATTTGACATTGCCCTCAGAAGCCGAATTATCCGTGGTGAAACAATTTTTATCGAAAGAAAAAAACAAGCAAGGAATGTCCAAGTTAGAGAAGCTATTTCCAGTTAGAGAAGCTATGAATGATACGTATCAACTACTGGAGGCAGCTGAAACGTTTGCAAGTAGCACGGCAGTAAGTGAGTGCTCATTTTCAGCATTATCAAGAATAGACACGGTGCGTCGGATGGCGATGACGGATAAGCGCCTCTGCAATCTCACATTCTTGGCATTTGAAAAAAAAAAACTCAAAACATTGGATGACAATTCTATTATGCGAAAATTCAATGAAAAAAACAGACGTTTAAGTTTATTTTAAAGTGCAACGAATCAGGTCTTATTTTTGTTTTTGATACTTTTTCGATTTATGTAAACATTATTGAATAATATTATATTTCCTAATCAAATCAGCAATTACGTTACTGTAACATTAAATAAATATTATATTTGATCTTGAATAAAACGAATCATAATTGGTTCTCAGAAAAACGCAAAATGTATTGTTATTTTTGTTGTTGTTCGTTATCGTTTTTCAGCACCTTTGAAAATTTTCAGCGCACCACCAAAGATTTTTTTCTAGTTACGGCACTGCTTTTGGTTTGTTGTCAGTACTCTTCTTTGAATTGACATAATGCCAAAATCTCGATGCATCATGCTTGAGCGAGGATTTCATTTTGTCGTATGTTTTGTATAGTTCCGTGTTGAGTTTATCGAATTCGCGAGACGCCAAAATGTATTTCCATTCAAACGACTGATGATAGCATGATCGTCTGTAACGTTTCCATGCTTTATTTTTCCTATTTTTTAGTGTTATTAGGAATTTGTTCTTCCATGGACATTTTTGTATCGACTTGACGATGTAAGTAGGCACAAATTTGTGATGATTGTCTTTCCATGGAACAACTCGGTAAAATTGACATTTGCCAGATGTGCATTCATGTCCCTGTAGTTGGCCCGTTTGAAATTGAATGCCTTTGTTATAATATTAGCTTCAGTCGTATTATTTCCATGCCACTCAAATGTAGCCATTATCGGTGGATGATGATCTTCCACTTCCGTCAGTGCGTCAGCCTCGTTAACACGCTCAATTGAGATGTTGGTAAAATCATTAGTAAAGAACAGGTCCAATAGTCGTTCTTTTGAATCATTACGTACATGATTTACCTGATGAACTCCCATGCTCATGAATCCCTGGATGAAAGTGGCCGTGTACTCAGGTGCAAATTTAGTTGGAATCATGATTTTGTCGTCGTCGCTATCGGTTGACCATTCCACATATTCTAAGTACCGGCAATTTTTATTTCTTCACTGGAGAATTATTCGTTTTTAGTCGCAATTAGTACTCCACCGATAGTCTGTCCCCACGAAAAACAGAATATGAATCGTCAAAAAATTCAGCATTATAAATATCTTTTCTGAGTCTCAGTCAGAATTATCATATCGTAATCATGGGAAGAGGCAGCACAATTGAAGCGGTCTTCTTCGGGAAATATACTGTGACAGTTCAACAAATACAGCCAACAACTCATGTGCATCCCCATACCCAACCCCAGCCATTTTTCCGTTAACAACACCAATAAATCACCACCTCAATCACTCTCCACCATTCAGTCGTAAAGTAACAAAGAAAATACACACACAAAATGTCAACGGAATTAAAACAAGGTTGCCTGAATTCAACGCTGAAGTCATAGCTTCTGATTCACCAATATTTATGCTGTGTGATGCCTTGATGACAGAGTTCATTCTGCAGAGGTTTTCCCACCGAATTTTGCTGTGTATCGCTGCGACCGTTCAGATATAACCGAATCAAAACAAACTCAAGTAAAAAAACATGGTGGTGGTGTGTTAATAGCTATTGATAGTTCATTAAAATCGCAATTTATCAACACAGGTGAACAATATGGTGCCGAACAGATATGTGTGATGCTACCTTTGAGTGATAGGAAAGTGTTTCTCGTTGAACTGTACATCAGGCCGAACTCGCCAGTCGATGTATATAAAGCAAATATGGACTCATTAAAGCGAATTGCCGAAAACGTGAAACAAGAAGACATTCTAATAGTGTCTGGTGATTTCAATTTGCCAAAATTGAATTGGTATACTGATGATACCGATGACACCGACATTGCCATTGCAATAAGTGCCTCCTCCGAAAGGGAAATGGTTGTTTTGGACACCTGTCATGACCTGGGTCTTGTACAAATCAACAAAGACGCTAATTTGAATGGTGCTATGCTGGATTTGATTTGGACAAACTGCACCGATCTCATCAACTGTTCCAAAAGTGACTTTCATTTGCTGAATCAGGAGTCACATCACATATCGTATGAGATAAACATCGGTGAATTTGAATATAAACCGAGTAAGCAAACGAATTTGAGTTACAGAGATTTTGTGAATGCCAACTACGATGACATTAATGAATCGCTGAATACCGTCGATTGGATGAAGGTTTTTACCGGTGATGATTTTGAATCTCATATCACTAAGTTCTACGAATTGATTGATGCAAATATTTCATCGAATGTTGCACAAAAAATGAGGAAGCTATCAAATCACCCAAAATGGTTCAGTAATAACCTTATCAATTTGAAGAACAGAGTCAATAATCAACACAAATTCATTAGATCCAGACGTACTACTGAAGAAAAGAAACATGCCAAAGCAGAACACATCAAACTGAGAAAAGAATACAAAAAGAGCGCACGTTTGGCTTACAGAGAATATAAACTTGAAATGGAACACCTTATAAATGAAGATCCACAGAAGTTTTTTGAATTTGTAAATGGTTCCAAAAAATCGAATGATGATCTTCCGAATGAAATGTCCCTTGAAGATAAAAGAAGTAGTGAGAGAGGTGAGATTGCACAATTTTTCGCAACACACTTTGCTAAAGCATATACTAAACCGAATTACAGTAGGAATGAAAATTATTCTGGAGACGAGTCCTTGCTTAGAGATTTGTGTGCAAATTTTCCCACTATTCACATTACTGAGGATCTGGTTATAGAGGCGATTAATAACCTCCCCAACAACATGGTATCAGGACCTGATGGAATACCGAATATTTTTGTCAAGAAATGTACTAACACATTGCTGAAACCAATAACACACCTACTAAAGAAATCATTAGACACCGGGTTTGTACCTGAAATTTGGAAAAAATCATTCGTGAGACCGGTGCACAAAAGTGGTATTAAAACCAAAGTTGAAAACTATCGCGGCGTAGCCCTGCAATGTATTATACCCAAGCTGCTTGATTCCATAGTTGCCAAACACCTTAATTACCACATTGAGAATATTATTGATGACAGCCAACATGGATTTGTTAAGGGAAGGTCTACAACAACAAATTTAGCTGAATTTACATCGTGTGTAATGCTTGGAATGGGGAACCAAATGCAGACTGATGCAATTTACTTAGATATTGCAAAGGCCTTTGACTCAGTCAACGTCGATTTACTAATCCGCAAACTGGATATTATGGGATTGAATCAACAACTGCTCAAGTGGATCAAATCATATTTGCATGGTCGACAACAGATTGTCAAATTGAATAATGACATGTCGAGCCCCATTGAAGTTACATCGGGAACTGGACAGGGATACCCGATAGGTTCTACATTGTTTCTGCTGTTCATCATTGATTTGCCAAAACACATAAGCAACTCAATTCTTCAGTCATTTGCTGATGACACTCGCCTATGGAAACATATCAGAAATCATGACGACTGTCTGGAGTTACAAGCTGACCTGAATGAGCTTGTCGAATACTTTAATAGAAATCAGCTAAAATTCAATGTGTCCAAGACCAAATTTGTGTCCTTTTATCGAGGCCATCTGAAGTTTGACTTCAATTACTCCATCGGAAACGAAGAAATTGATCGTGTCGACGTTATAAAGGATCTAGGGGTAATACTTGATCATAAATTAAATTTTAACGCACACATTGAGTATATTACAGCCAAAGCGAAATCACGTTTAGCATGGATTAAACGATTTGGATATGAGTTTGATGATCCATGGACCATAAAGAAATTATTTTCCACTTTTGTCTTACCGATTGTGGAATACGCATCCCAAATCTGGAACCCATACACTGCTGAGAAGGTTGCTCGAATTGAATCGATACAAAAGCAGTTCTTATTGTTTGCACTACGCAAAATGAAATGGCCACAGAGATTTAGAAAACCACCGTACGATTGCCGGCTACTTGAATTACAAATGATTACGCTTGAGGAACGAAGAAAAGTAGCCCAAATATCTCTCGTTCATAGTGTGATTTGTGGACACACGTCATCCAGATACATTCTGAGCAAAATTAATTTAAGAACACCGCGACATTGGACTAGAGACACAGATTTCCTATCATTACCGACGCATCGCAATAACTATACCAAGTTCGAAACTGTCAATTATATGCTTAGTACATACAATGAATTTTATAAATACTTTGTTCCTATCAAACAGCCTAATCTACCAAATGAATGCAATAACACTCTAAAATGTGATACCTATTTAATAGATTTTAACACAAATACAAATACTGTTAAACATAGAGTAGCTGAATTTTTCAAAAGAAATAGAATTTGGAGAGAGTAAAATTAAATTGAATGAATATTCTCGTTGTAAATACTGTAAATATAACAAAATATTTATACTAAATAAACCACCTCTGGCGAAGAAACGCTGTATGGTGCAGAATAATAATAATAATAATAAGTTCTGGTAGTAGATTTTAGTGAGAAAAGCGCAGTCATCCGATATGGCATGGTTTAGTGCCATCTGTTGCGATAGCCTTGATGATTTTCTGCGCAGCGTTCGTTGTAGCAGTATCGATGGCAGTTCGGCTTCACTTGCGAGCAACAGCTCTTCTGGCAATGATTTGTACGTGATTGCCGGCGTTTCCTTTGTGGGTGCTGGTTCTTGGTGTGTCTCCAATTTGTTTGCTGAGCGTTTGCTTTGCCAACCTCGTTTTTTGGCTTGGAGCGATCGATTGTTTTGTTTTATTTCGTAGTTGGATTCGATTCCTTGGGTTGCTTTTTGGTGCCAATCAAGTTTTTTGGCTTCGTCCGGACATCAGAAGCGGATTTTCGGCCAGTTTTAGCAACCTTCGACACGAATTCTTCTGAGGTAACGCCAGTTGGCCAAACACTGCTGAACAAATCAACATACTCAGCTGGCACATCCAGTTTGAACTAGACAAAAGTCGGGTTTGGCACCTTTTTTTGTTTGGTCTCAGACTGGTGCAGGTCACGTTGTCAGTGAAGGGACAGGTGCTTTCGATCGCCTTCAAGTGACCAGCAATAACTGAAATATCAGTCACCGGATTGAATGGACTGATGTGCAATGACCGCATATTTTGTTTTTTCCCACTGGGTTTTTCGGGGACACTACCAGTCGATTTCGGAGGGATAATAAAATTGCACAAATCAACTGGGTTTTTATTTTCACTTCGTCAATTTTTCGTCGCTTCACACCCCCGCGTGGACCCAAATTCACATTAATGTAATTTGTGAGCGGCGAAGAAAAATCAATGTGTTTAGTTTGTTGTTGTTGTTGACTCAAAATACCATCGTTTTGTGCTTGTGATGATGAGCCGCCGGTCGATAGGGAATCCATGTCCAAATCAACAACTTCATGTTGATCGTCAGTTGGAATTGATGCGGGTGGCTGGTGGCATGGTGATGAAATCCAAGTTTAGTCCATCCAGCATTTTCATGATCGGAACGAGCTTTGTTTTGATGTCAGCGAGTTGTTTTTCAGTTCAATGCATTCTTTGCACGTCATTATGTAAGGTCATGCAAGCTACGTAGATACGGGAAAATAAATTTACACAGAAAAAGACAGCAAAAAACTGATTTGCACACAAAACTTAATAAAATATTAACGAAAGACACTAATTACAAATACGGTGATTTTACATTCAAGCGCGTATTGGACCACAAAGATCTCGGCGTCATCATTGACCAGAAGCTCAGCTTTGTCAAGCACATTGACGCGATCATTTCGAAAGCCACATCAGCCTTGGGATTCATCAAAATCTATCTATTTATCTATCTGATAAATTGAGTGACGACTTTTGCAGTCTCAAAGTCTTAAATTTAACGCGTAACAATTAACGCTTCACATAGCCTTTGTCCCTTTGGAAACGTTTACCAAAGGTTATCCTGGACCGTTTACTATAGACTAGTATCAAGCATTTCCATCTTGGTTGTATGACTGTTTTAGTTTTCATGTTCCTACTATTGTGAATACCGCATGATGTACGAAAAGAGCCAGGTTTTTAACGAGGCGAGAACTGATAGTTGTCGAAACCTATTGCTACTAATTGTTTGTTATTTTAAATATA